TTTATTTAAATATTTTTTATTTAAATAAATACTTACTAAATTTTAAAAATACACGTAGTGCAACCAATCAAATGAGACTAGGACACACTGGTTGAAATCAATTTTCTATTATAGAGAAGGCTTGAATAGGTGCAGAAGAAAGAGAATATTTGGGGTAGAGGGGGAGAGCCCAAAAAAACTAAGGCAAGGGCGTGACAATGGCCTGGCTGGGCTGAGTGGAGACCTAGCGATCGTTTCTGGCCAGAGAATCAGGGAGAGTCAGAGAAGGGTTTTGCTGGGCTTTGAAGACCAAAAAGCATAGTTCACATTCAGTGTGGTAGGAAATAGGGAACCACTGTAAATTTTTAAAATGAAAATGCAATTGTGAAAACATTAATGAAGACTAATCCGGTAGTCACAAAATTGGACACGCAAAATTATAAAAGTTCCGGCATCTTTAGTGTTGCGATGAAAGATTCTGCCTGAATTAAGCAGACCGGGTTTGAGAGCTCAACCTCTGAGTGACTGGCTGTTCGGCACTGAGAATATATAGTAGAACCCAATTGTAGGTGGGAATCTAGAAGACTCGCATAGTACAGTTTTTGACTAATGTTTCTATGTGTACATATATAGTTACTCATATACACATATATAGGTTTCGACCAAACATTTTCATATGCTTGCATTGTATATAGTTAAGAACCAGGCCGGGCACGGTGGCTCACACCTGTAATCCTAGCTCTCTGGGAGGCCGAGGCGGGCGGATTGTTTGAGCTCAGGAGCTCGAGACCAGCCTGAGCAAGAGCGAGACCCCGTCTCTACTAAAAATACAAAGAAATTAATCAGACAACTAAAAATATATAGAAAATATTAGCCGGGCATGGTGGCGCATGCCTGTAATCCCAGCTACTCAGGAGGCTGAGGCAGTAGGATCACTTGAGCCCAGGAGTTTGAGGTTACTGTGAGCTAGGCTAACGCCACAGCACTCACTCTAGCCAGGGCAACAAAGCGAGACTCTGTCTCAAAAAAAGAAAAAGAACTCTCAGAAATCCATGGAGTTTGAGAAATTGGCTACACTACTATTTTATTTTTTCATTGCACTTAGGCAGAAGCTAAGCAGGAATTCACCTTGCTCTCTTGCTGTTCACATCTGTTGTTCTATTCTTCTCCCCACATCCTCTTTCCATAGAACATTCCACTGTTCTGCATCCTTGCAGCCCCTGGGCTTCACAGTGGTCCTCCGTTTGGGGCCATGTTCCTGTCATATTTGAGGCTCAAGTTGCTCTTTTGGGCTGTGGTCTTGGTACCTGTCAGATGCCTCCTGGATGCTCTGTTCAGACCCGATCAGTGCACACTCCTCTCACCTCAAGCAGGTCACGGGAAACCCCACCACAGAGCACCCTTTACACTCCGTGCCTTACGCTGTGGGCGACCTTCCCCCGGTTGGCTCCAGTGCATGTGTGGGGTCCAGGTCCTGAAAACACGGTCTGTTCTGAGATAATGGAGTTGCGAACTAGGATATCGATGGTGGGAAATGAGAAGGCGGTGGGTCTGGGGCACAACTTTCAAATCAGCAGACAATGATTGGCAACCAGTGTGGAGAAAGCGAATCAGACTCAACTGGACTCACTCTGGGAGCGTTTGCAGAGGCGGGGAGTCAGGGCAGCCGAGATCGGGCAGGCGCCGGGCTGGGACGCGCACGCCTGCGGTGTGGGACGTGGGCGGTGCGCAGCTGGGAACTCGTTAGGCAGCTGGCGACAGAAAGCGGAGTGAGTGGACACCGAGATCCGAGAACCACGCGTCTGCAGGTAATAGCCAAAGCCTCAAGGACCTCTGAGCCTTGTTAGGGAAAATTGAACATCAGTGAGGAAAGAAAAGAGCAAAGTGAATGGTCAGGTCTGGGAGCCTGAGAGGCAGCAGGAAGAAAAGGAGCCGTTGTGGTCACAGAGGACAGTCACGTGGAAGGAGGAAGGAAAGGTCAGAGGCGAGGATGAACCCCGTTGGGTGGTCTTAGATATGCCCGGGAGAAACCCCGCACAGGGTGCCTGGCGTGAAAGGAGCAGCCGGCACAGCGTGGGGTGTCTCTTCTGCTTGTTAAATCCCTCGTGAGATACGCGAAAGCCATAAGCTCACTGATGACTTAGTCTTCGTTCCCTTTAGTAAATAGATTACGACAAGCTGATCCTTGCAACTCGTATCTTTATTTGCAAAGGAAATAGGTGTGAATTATGGGTGTAATTTACATAATGTACAAATTACATGCTTCAGAGAATTATAATATTCTGCATATAATAATTTTTCATTTATTGAATACCTACATTGTGTCAACAGAGTGTTAATTGTTTGTACATTTGATATTATTGAATTCTTACAATTACCTTTTGATGTAGGGATTAATCTGTGGTCCCCAAACCCCAGATCACAGACGAGTACCAGTCTGTGGCCTGTTGGGGACCGGGCCTCACAGCAGGAGGTGAGCGGCAGGCGAAGCTTCATCTGTGTTTACAGCCCCTCCCCGTCGC